TTCCTGGAAGGAGGCCTGGGGTGTCTTGACCAGGACCTCACTGCCCCAGGCCCACCAAGGGCTTCGCTGCAACTTTACATCTCCAGCCTGGACCATCTTAAAGGCCCCCTGCCCTGTTCCCACAAGGCGAAGGTAAGGAGGCAGGAGGGTGATCAGAAAGGATGTACAAACTTCCTAGCATCCAGCCTGACTGATATCACACCTAGAGTATAAAACCAAGGAGAAAAAAATGGACACGGGGTGGTATGTAGAAGACTAACACCATGGGCCTTGCTCTTGGGGTCCTTGTCAGATGGCAACTGCCAGCACTGCTGCCCTCTGCAGAAGAGCTGGACTTAGGGTGTGGATCCACCCTTCCCCCCAGTAGGGCAACTTTACCCTCACTGGCCTCATCAACAGAGTACAAACCAGGAGTATCATGTAAAATCTAAAGGGAACAGCAGTAATCACCACGTCCAGCTGAGAATATTTAGGGCTGCATCGATATCAGACCCTGGAGCGGGGAAAGGGGTCCATGGATACACGTAAACATGTACAACATAGCTGCAGAGCTGGCCATCACTGCGTCCAGGCTCAGGCAGCCGGGGGTACACCTGGTGGCCACTCTAAGTGCTAATGGGGTAGGCAGCCCAGCTGTGAGCCAGACTTGGTTCTTAAAGACATGACCGAGACCCTACACCTCATGTCAAGGTGCATGTGACCTTGCTGTGCACGCGCCAGCCTGAACGGGAGCTTCAGCAGCACTGTGTGCAACCGGCATGCGCACACATAACTCATCGCCTGCTCTCTGTATGACTCTGATGGAGGAAAGACTGGGAAAGGCCCACTGCCCCTCAGAATCACCATGCGACTGAGTCAGCCGCAACTGCAGAGGTCTCCCAGCCCTTATTTTTAAGGGGAGGACACGGAGACCCAAAGAGGCAAAGAGACTCATGGAAGTGAGAAACTTGGGGCCTAGGAACCCTGTCCTTCCCAACTCTCTCCACCCCCACTTTACCCTCTCATCCTCTGCTTTTCCACCTTCTCTGAGAGCCTCAGGACTTCCTCCCTCTGCTCTCCTGACAACAGCAAAAGATGCTTTTCCATGTTTTTCACTAACTCGTTAATGATTTTAAGACCTTCAGACATTCAGGCCAGCCCCTGAAGCCACGCTAGACTTGGAAACTTATGACAAACTGCTCAACCAGCTCCACCCTGCTCCTTGTAAAGCCCCTCCTAAGCTAACAGTTCTCCCTAAGGGGCCCAAGGCTGCCTGGGCAGGGGGACACTAGGGCAATGTCTGACCTTTGCTAGGACCTCAAGCCAGGACTTCGCACTGCCTTTTCCAAAGGCACAAAGCCCCTTCCCCAGCAAACCTTATTGTTCCCCCATTCAAAAGCCTCTGTCTTTACTGTAAAGGTGCATCTCAGTAAACAGGAAAACGTTATCACAACCTTGCCAAACAGACACCCAGTAAAGAAAGGTCATGGCCTGAGAATAATGCAGGTTTGGGCTTCTGGTTCAAGATGGTGGCTGGATCACAGGGATATTATCTTCTTTCTCTCTGGAGATTACTTTTAAAAACTGTGGCTGCCGAGAAGCCACAACCTAGAACATGTGGGTTAAAGGGTACAGTTCTGGGAGGGCTGCCCTGGCCAGAGGGCCGATGGGACTCAAAGCTCACAGAAAAGACAGCAGGTGGACAAGAGTACAAAGTATTACAGCTTTTTTGTACTTAACAAAATGAAAACAAAATCTATAGCCTTAGCTCATCTGACTTGGGCCCCTGTGGAAAGGATAAACTGCTGAATTAAGCAGCTAAAACATTTTGGTACCAAATAACTATGTGTATATTTTTTTTCTTTTTGGTATTTATTATTCTCTATTTCTTTGTAAGCTACCAGATTTAATTATAACCATTAGGAGAAGGTAAGGAGAACAGACAGCAGTGAGCATTTCAGAGAGTGAAAGACTCTACAAATAGCAAACTTAAGGTAACAGATCTTTATAAAGCCCTTTATTGGAAATAAGAAATAAAAATATTAGCCTACTATATTTTTGGAATTAAAATTTAGCCTGCCATCAGTTGGCCTGGATAGTGACTAAAGTATAGTGACTAAAGACACCTTGAAAGGCTGGAAGTCAGAAGACCAAAGGTCCAGTCCTTGTTCTGTATAACCTTGGCCAAGTTATTCCACTTCCATGTGACTCAATTTTCTCAAAAAAGAAAATGACTGGTATTGACCCTCCCCAAGGAATAGTGTGTGGAGCTAGAATGTGCACCAAGAAAGATTGCAGAGCATCAGAAAGTGATATGACCCAGTATTGTTGAGATAGGTAAAGAGGGAGATAGAAGGAAAAGTAGAGACAGCCAGCTGTAAAAATGGTGAAGCCAAACATAGGCCGAGAAGGAAGGAAG